GCCAAAATGTGAGGCACCTCCAGGCTGTGCAGCCTCTGTGTACATGACAGCCGCAGGAACGGGGCATGTTAGCAAGGGTTGTGTGATGTAATTACATCATTCTCCAGTAAATTTTGGCAGAAAACCCTGCAGCATGCCTAGCGGGGGGCTGCAAAGGCAGGGCCGTGATGGTGGAAAGTGCAGGAAAGCATAAAAAGCTCAAAAACTGTGTTGCTTATAGGGATAGATGCAAGGCTACTTGATGGGGAGGAAGGCACACACACTTCTGCACTCATTACCGAGCCTGCATGGGATGACGTTCATAACGTGATGAGGGGAGCAGGAAGTAACAGGTCGTTCCTTCTCTAAAATTATGCTGATCCTGGGAAAGACAGCTAGTTGGGAATAGAAGACACAACCAGCAGAGCCACCACATAGAAACAGCAGGCCAATCTAGCACAAATGCTGGAGAAGATGCATTTCATCAGTCAACTACAGCCACATTTAGTTACTTTTATACCATACTCTTTCTTGTTTTTAGAAGACATTGAATAGTTGTGTCTTACAATAGTAATGAAATGTTATCCTCATTTTCTTGATAAATACCAATCTTCGAAGTTTTTCATTATCAATACCATCCACTTGCTGTAAGGTTCATTATTACTCCATTTCTTCATTCCTCTTGACTAAGCTTGACAGCAGTGGACACCAAAGAAAGAAGGTGATAATGAAAATGTGCTTGTAACTGTTTATAACTTTTCAGAAAGCAACAAGAATTTTCACACACAAAAAGCCATGAAGCACCCTAAGCCAGCTGCAGAAAAAAAAGTGCTTCCTAAAAGACATCTCCAGTTGACAGTGCTGCTCTCCACCCCCCAGGTCATATATACTGTGCCAGTGGATTTAAACTTTCTATATATCTCCAGTTCCAAGCCCCCCCCTTTTTTACATTAATTCTTGTAGGAAAAAAACTTGAAAGACAACTGCACAAGCATAAACAAGGGAGGGTGGGTGTTGTCCTGCTTTGCTAGCATTTATTTTGATACATTACTAAATGCCCAAGCATGCCCAACTCCTCGGTAGTGCTTTTTTCTTTAGCAGGGGGTTGTTCACAACTAATTTGAAGTATTTGTGCCAGTGGAAAAATTTTCAGCAGTTCTCTTATCTCTGAGCACACTCTTCTCAGGCATTTTGGAGCTTTAGGACTTGTTTTGTGTTTGTAGTGTGGGAGGCTATTCCAGTTCACAACTGTTTTCTAATGGGCTGCCTCCCCCTTTTCAGTATGGTTGAAGAGGAGAACAAATCATAACTTTAAACAGCATCAGTATGACAGACTGCATGACAGACACAAGGGAATTATTTCAAGAGGTCATCTAGTCCACAGACTAGACCTACAGCAGATGCCAGAGGACACGCACATGAACATATTTTGACCTTCATGCCTCAGAACTGGAAGCCATGCAATCTGAACAGAGTGATCTGTGCAAGCTCTTAATTAAAGACCTAGTACCAGCTGACAAGTTTGTCAGCATCTGGCCTCCTTGGGACATAGCATCTCCCAATTCTCAAATTTCTGATCTATTTTAGGAAATAAAAAATACCGCTCGGTACCATAATTTTGAAAGTGTTACCACTCCTGGATCTAGGTTTTGTCCCAGAAGGCAGGATCAGTTGTCCCTAAGCCACTCCGGTCACACTATTGTCCAGTTTGTTTCCTCCAGCAATCAGGACATTTTCCTAGTCTCCACTATCCTTACTTAAACTGTTAAGTCCCACCCAGCAGTGGTAGTTCCTCAACAGAGGCAGAGAGAAAACTCAAGGAGCACAACTCCCGGCCTACCAGGTAAAGCTGGTAGAGGTATACCTTTCCCTTTGGCCTTTTGTTTCCTTTGGGGTGGGGTGGGCCACATCTCCCAGCCCTTAGGACATCTTGCTGCTCTTCCTTCTTCACTAGTTTTGTTGGCTCCCTCATTGTCATCAACAGTGGATGTCTGGTACTTGCTGCTCCTTACAAGCTATTGTGTTTCCCACAAAGTAGTAATGCTCTTAGGGTAGCTTTGCCTCCTGTCACTCGGGGATCCCATTTCCTCCCCCTTTGGCACTAACCACATACTGGAATACTGCCATGACTGGTTACAGAGCAGAACTACGGATTCCTTCCCTAGACAAATCCCATGAGTGCTTTTGTGGTTAGACTGTTCCTGGATTCATTCCAACAGGCAGCAAGACCATACTAGGCTTCTCACCTCCTCCATCAAGCATCACCATACAGCACTATTCTGTCATGCCAGGCACCCTCTACACTTCTTCCCACAAAGCTGAGGATGTCCAACCCTAAAACAAGTGAACTACAAGGCATCGTGAGGATGCTTTCTCCTCATATTTGAAAATTAGAGGAAATATGAATTCTTATGGTTTTTGAAAGGCTACATAGCCCCATGGACTAGGCCACCATGACCGCATTCCTTGAGCCATCCTAGACCCACGCCAGTCAAGCTGCAAGAACCCACCTCACAGCTCCCATGAGATGCCTTCCCACTGAAGAATGGAAGCCACCTGCTCTACATGGGATAAGCCACAAATATCACAGAATCACAGAATATGCCAAGTTGGAAGGGACCCACAAGGATCATCAAATCCAACTCCTGGCCTTGCATGCCCAAGAGTCACACCATGTGCCTGAGTATCATCCAAACACTTCTTGAACTCTGTCAGGCTTGGTGCTGTGACCGCTTCCCTGGGGAGCCTGTTCCAGTGCCCAACCACCCTCTGGGTGAAGAACCTCCTTCTAATATCCAACCTAAGCCTCCCTTGACACAATTTCAGGCCATTCCCTCAGATCCTGTCACTGGTCACCACAGAAAAGAGATCAGTGCCTGCCCCTCCTCTTCCCCTCATGAGGAAGTTGTAACTGCAATGAGGTCTCCCCTCAGTCTCCTCCAGGCTGAACAGACCAAGTGCCCTCAGCTGCTCCTCACACGGCTTTCCCTCAAGGCCCTTCACATCATCGTTGCCCTCCTTTGGACACTCTCTAATACCTTAATGTCTTTCTTATATTGCTGTGCCCCAAAACTGCACACAATATTCAAGGTGAGGCTGCACCAGTGTGGGTCCATATATACCAATCTGAACCCACAAAAGGAAGAGGGAAAGGGCTGACAAAGTATAAGCACAGCCCACACTTCCAGCTTTTAAACTGCTTTTGTTCCTTTATCTTCACGAGGAATAATGATCAAGGGTAGCAATGAAGTGATAACATGAAAGAACTCAAATTTTCAGAAAACCATGCAAAACAAGCAAACGGTTACATCCATGTCCAAAACAAATCAACAAAACAAAAAAGATAAGCTGAATGAGTTGCAAGTCAAGCACAAAGCAGATCCTTCCTTTTCATTCCCTTTAAGCTCAGCTTTTCCATAGAAATAACCTCTCATCATTTATGAGGTTTCTGCTCTGTATCAGCTTTTCTGTATTCAAATGATGCTGATCATTAGCCAAATGAATGAGACAGAACCACTGACCAACAAGCTGAAACAAAAATTTCAAGAAAAGACCTCCTGTTCTTCGAGAAACCTTCAAGAAATCAGTTTCAAGTTTCTTTTCCGTTACTCATTCATTTTATTTAAACCCCCCCTACTTTATTTTATAGGGCAGCTTTCTCCTCTGCATTTGTCAACTGTTCTGTGATAACTTTTGAAACCATTCAAGGGAAGGTGGAATTGACATACTTTGTAAAGCATCAGTGCCTGGAGAGAAAGCTCCGAATCCAGTGAGGAAGAACTCAAATATGATGAACTCTACCCTGTCCTACTAGTTCGTACATACTCCAGTCTAGTCCCACCTGCATTTATTAAGTCCAGCAGATGTCAAAGAAAACACAGGAGGAAACTGAGGCTGCTATAGGGTAGAGGAAAGAAGTGTAAAGCACACAAATCCATCTAAAGCTTTGTCTTGCTACTTGGAGGACAGTTTTCATTTTAATTCATAATTTCAACCTACCTAACATGCATTTTTCTAACCATTTTGTGGGTATCAAAGTTACTTCATATGACACTACAATACTGACCTGAAGTGTTAATGTATCTTAAGTATTGGTTTTAGCAGATAAACCTCAAATGATTCCTTAATGTTCTGTCTGAATATACTATAGTTTATGAGTAAGCTCTCTCTATGACACTTAAAGAATGGACTTTTACAAGGTTTATCTGACTACATACAACATTTTAAAGAAAAGCACATTTAAGATCACATTGATTAAGATCACACTGTTTTCTAAAATATCATGATATTTTAAAAAGACTAAGAATTTATTCAATGTAAATGCAACTTATAAAGTTGTGGAGTTGCAAATACACATTCAGCCTTCCATTTCTAGTTTTCTGCAAATTAATTTACTTAAAATAATTTCAAACCTAATATAGTGTCAAATAACATCCAACCTCCAAAGTTACAGAAGTGAGATTTTTCACATTGCTTAAAATTAGACTTCCCAGTTTTTACCACATTTATTTTTGAAAAACAAAGGAAAAAAACCTGTAAACCATTACTTAACAGCAGTTAGCAACAAGAATGGGTGACAACTGTCAGTCTGCAAATGTAAGTTATGCCCTTTCTTACTGTCAAATTTTAGTTCAAGTATGTAAATAAATACAAGAGCTAACACAAAATTTACCACTGTAAGAAAATACATTATGTGCTGCATTTTGGAATAAAGTATCATACAGTACTGGCTGCATCATTTGGAATATATAATTAAGTGCTTGGAACTGACGCGAAACAGTTAAAACTTTTCTTTATGTAGATGACTACTCTTTTACTCACCATTAGAAATTTGTTTTGTAATTAATTTTATGCTGCTATATTAAACTCCTAAACGTGAAAATGACTCAAGTCATTTAATAAAAGATGATACCATAGGCACCATAATATATATATTTTTTTTCTTTTTAAACAAAATCTGGTGATGAACCAGCATTAACAGGATGAAAATTAAAAGGCACATTCAGGCAAAAAATAATCAACACAGTTTGCATGATGTTATATTTTAAAAAAATAATTTATGATCTGAATAATAGATTGGATCGGAAACAAATATTCTGGCAGACTTCAATCTGTCAGAGAGAAATAAATTTTGTAAAAGGTGTGCAATTCAAATGACAAATATTTTTTAGTGTTGAATTTTGTTTTGTTTTAGATCAGTATAAGGCTCATGACCAAGTGCTTGCTAAGAGGACTGACTACTCAAAATGTCTTGTTTCCCGACTGCATAGAAATACAATGAGCAATGAGGATATTCCTTGCAAGAAGACATATTCTTCTATATGTGCAAATCCTAATCAAGTACTTGAGCGTCTTTCAGGTCTCGGAACACATTTCATAATCGCAGCTCTCCACAGGGCAGGGGCAAGTAGAAGGCTTAGAGTAGTTACACTCAGAATAAGCAGATAGACCTGCAAAAGGCAAATAAAAGCCATTATGTCTCTTGGTTACATGACAGTACTAAGAAGTGACTAGAAGTTTGAGGAGACCACACTCTTCTGGACAGTATTTTTAAGAGACTTCACCTGTGTTCATAACAAACTTTGTGTATTGCTACGAAAGCAAACAAAAGCATGCTCAAATTATCTTAATTATGCATTTACCTGGTTTGAAAATACAATTACAAAAACACCATTGTGAGCTTATAGAAAAACAATTGTTCATATATTTAGTTAAGAGATGAATTTTGAAAGTTCAGTATTTGCTAAGAAGTTGAAGGCCAAATATCACTTTATTTAAAACAGAACAAAAAACCACACCCCACCCCTCCAAACTATTCTGGCTTAATGATATAATGGCAAAGTTCACTACTATTCTACACTGAAAAGAGCAAACTAACATCCCTTTAAGTCATACTGCACATCTTCTGAAAAAAAAGATCTTAACTACATAGTCTGAATGAGTCTTAGAACACAGTGGCAGGAAGTAAGTTTTGAGGTCCCAAGCAGAAGAATGACTTTAGGAAATTTCAGAGCTATATAAACCTATACAGTAGATAATTATGTGAGAGCAGAAAAAAATGAAAGCCTAAAAGCCCTCAAGCTCAGTGGGTGGCCCCTAAACTGGTTCTGTGATCACGTACAGAGATCTTGAAACTCTATGCAAACATGCAATATTTGTAACTCCTAATCATATGCAGGAGTGAACATGAAAATGAATCACCTTTACCTAAAAGTGAACAGCATTGTGTAAGTTTTTCACACATGCTTTATTTGGAATTGGTTCCAGCATTATACAGCCCACTTGCTCACACAATGAAAAGCTCTGAGCACCAGCAGAGTATTTTTTGTAAGCAGGAGCACAGACAACAAAGCAGCTAGCACTAGAAAGTGAGGTCACTTGTTGTATCTTTGTAGCCATAATTTACTTAATTTCACAAAGCAGACTTCATCTTCAAAACAAAATAACATTCTCAGCTTCAATATAAAACTAAGTTTAAGGCTTCTTTCCTGGGGATTCTTTTAATGACTACTGAAAACATTGGTTGTTTCTTCTGTAGAGGATCTAAAATGAATAAGCTTTGCAAGAAAAACTAATTACAAGTTTATTGCTTACAGTAATTTCCACATCACGATATCTGCTCTCTAGTTCTTATTTGCTGGTATTTCCTTCTTCAAATCCTATACTCTATACATATCCTATACCTTGTTCTGTATCAAGATTTTAAAAGCAAAGCCTTCTTATTCTTAGTGACTCAGATGCTATCTCCAACTCACTGCTTAGGTAAATAAAGAAGTTGTAAGTGAGAGCAATTAAGGTAAAGCATTTATAACTAAGCTATTTAAAATATTAAAGTACAATATGAAACAAATAAAAACAGCACTAAGAAACCTGTCAGGGACATACAAGTATCCACTTGTACGGGCTGATTCTATTTGTTAACAGTTGAGAGATGTCACAAAATTGGAGTCTATTGGTATTTCAAATACTGGGATTTTGTATTACAGTTTAAGTTATTCAGGTGCAAAAAATGAAGTTAATAAGTATAGAACACCTTCCTTACCTCCCGAGATATGATCCCTGCTCTGCGTGCTCTACTTCCCAGAACAAAAGAGAATTCGCTGACTTGTGCCAGTCCTGCTGAGACAATCCACTTGATATACTGGCTGGTCTTTGGAAGAATCAGAGAAAGGACAAGCACTGCCAAGACAAACTTTAAAAACAGGTTTTTTGGGGTTCTTGTGGGTTGTTTTGTTTTGTTTGTTTAAATAAAAAAAATGCAATAAATAAAATAGTACGAACTTTGTAAGATATATAGCATCAAATACAGTAATTCTGGACATAACATAAAATAATGGACTTCTAAGTGTGTCTTCTGTATTAATGTCAAAAGAGACAAATGTACACTGAACGGTAAAAAGTAGTATTGTGTTTACTATAATAAAAACACTTGATAACTGTCACAAATTCCAAGCTAGATAAACAGACACTTCACCATGTGTAACTTACTTTTAACATTACTTTTTTTTTTTAATACCCTAAGAATATTGTATCAAACTGTATTCTAATCAGTAAGATTCCTCCAAATACAGATTTACAGTAATACTCTCTGTTAAATCAGATTTTCAGTTCTTGCATAGAATTTTCTTTAGGGTATGAAGCACAAAGATTATTCAGATTATTAAAGATTAAAAAGATTTTTAAAAAGAGTAAAAGAAATTACCTTCATTATGACCACAGACAATGTAAGGAATAGCAAAACTGTGAGTTCATATATTACAAATGTGGGGAAAACATGAAGTCCTAGAAGGAAAGAAAACAATATTTCAAAGTTTGAGGCCAATATCTTATGATGGTAATTTTCTAGGTTAATAATATATGGAATTGCAAGACTGTATTCTCAAAACTAACCAAACAGAAAGCCTTAACAGCCTTAACATATCTACCAACTACTTGATCACTAAATCCCTAACTACCTACTTGATCATAAAAGCATTTCCTGCATTATCCAGCCATTTTTCATTTGGAGGGGTTTAACACAAGCCATATTCCCAATTGAGTTAAGTTGTATATGAGTGACCCACAAGCACTTTCATTTATAAAGTTTTCTGCCTTCCACACCAGTCAACAATACAGAATCTGAAATGAAACTCACCTCTAATGAAAGCTATAAAAATCCTGCAGGAAAACAATTCCATTGTTCTGCACAGTCATTGTAATGTTTTTCTAGTCATTTACCCTTTTTGTATGGTATGGTAACAGACTATTACTGTGGGAGGAACATGATATTCAGTATTTGCATAGACTATAGATACAACAGAAATTGAAACTATTTTTGATTACATGACCCTCACCTGCAAACACTAAAAGTCACCTGAACTGGAAAAGACACTTAGACTGAAATCAGGTAAAGCCATAAACCCCTGAGCATGGTTTAACAATTAAGGAATTACATACAAACCCATTGTTCTGATGTTGTTGTGTTTTTTTGTGGGGGTGGGGTGTCTTTTTGAGGTTTTCTGCTCTTTTTTTTTTAAATTTTAATTCGGTAATTATATGAAGCAAGATAACAAGAACCACAAAGAACACAGAAATTTAAAACTAAATCTTGCTAATATTAAACAACAACAACAAAAAAAAGTATTTGTTGGAGAAGTCTTAGAGTCACTGAGCAATTATCTTACTCACAGCTGACTAAATCCATTTTTTCCTCAGAGAGTATGAGGAAGTTTTGCAGGCAAACATAACTGTGCATCTTTGGAAACTCATTCCTTTTTCATAAAAGCTTCTAAAACCAGAAAGCAAAATAGTGGTGGTGTTCCTGATAAATCCATAAGAGTTGGCAGTTCTCCAACCCAATTATTTCTGGTGAAGGACAAAAATTTAGCTTTCTAAAGCAGAAGGCACGTAAATCAATGCTGTAACTTCTTTTTTTAATGCAAGACAAGGTTTCACTAATTTTCTCTGCCCTGTAGCAGTGCAGAGCCAGAACTATAGAGAACCAAGAGTTGTCATCTCTTGCAGACTGTGCAAGAAAGTTGCTTATAGTAAAGTCACAATGTTTTGTCCATACGCTCATTCTATTGTGGATGGAAATATTCTTCAAGTACATCAGAGATATTTATATGAGTACCACCCAGTCAGCATTTACACACCCCATTTTATTTCTTAATTTTCTTCCAACTACTGAAGCGCAAATGCAAAAGACTATCAAAGTAAGAGGAGAAATGGCAAAATAAGAGATGAACACCACACCAAAAAAAAAAAAATCTGCATGTATGCAGAGATGCACAAGGAGGGGCAAGTAGTTTCTCTGTTTTCACTGTGTATCACATGCACAGTGCTCATTCACCTTTAGGCTGACCTCAGAAAACACATGAAAAGCAATCAGAGAAATACAGCCCATAGCAATGGCATGTTAGATAAGAGGGCCAACTCTGACACATCTAGAACTGAAGGTTTCTGAGGAGGATATAAATATAACCTAGTGCTCTCATCACTCCTGATGGAACTACCTGTTTACTTCTGGAGCAGGCTGAAGTCCATTTGAACTGCTGCCCATGGAGATTTATTGCTATATTCCAAAGACCTAAGGCACAAACTACAGCAGATTTCTATACCAATCCTGTGGAGGTAACTGTCTGTGAGGTGAAGCAAGCCTAAACTTGTTGCATACACTATTCTGAGTAGACAAATCAAACAGACATATTTTCTTTTTGTAGGAAATAGATCCCATCATAGGAGATTTTTATGGTCATTACAGACCTTTGCCCCAGTCCCAGATGAAAACCTAGGATAAGGCCAGAACTCACACGAGACTCCTGTACGAGCATGTGAAGCCTTCCTGACAACACAAACGTCAACAGAAAGACTAACTTCACAGGCAGAAGGTGCACAAATATTAGCATTTATTGCAATGGTTTTGACCAGATTTTGTGACTAAAATGAAAGAAATGCTTCGAATAATTCAAAAACTTCAGCAGTGTTATCAGGTAGCACATGGCACGTTGGCCAGCAGTCAGTAGCTAGGATAACACTTAGGTCCACCTTTACAGAGCTGACCATAAGCGTCCAGACTTTAATTCTAAGCAGTGTTCTGAAAGAGCTGGACCAGAGGCCTAGGGGTGACCTTGCATCAGTGGCAGGCCAAAAAGCACAGTTCACTCATGTAAGTTGGTATGTGTTATTCTGCGGACAATTACAGGCAAGATTTTGCACATCCTTTTTATAAGTGCTTTTTTCCTTAACAAGTAAACTCCCTCCTTCTCTGATTAGACAGATTCTACCAATCTGCTGGATGGCTGCCAAACAGCATGTGAACATCCAAACGTCTTGACCACATCCTGGTAGATCCAACATAAAGAAAAGGAATCTTGGAGATCCTTGATGGCAAACACTATTACAAAAACCAGAACTCTGTGGGTCAAACTGGAGCCAGCAGAATTAATTCTGACACATCCTCAAGACAGGACATCACTCAGAAAAATCATGTTAGCTGTGCATTGGGATGCTGTATCTACTAGGAGTCTTAATGAACATAAGATCATAGCTAGCAAATGCAATAAATGCTACAGCCCTGGCTAGATCACTAAATAGCAGAGGGGAAAGTCAACATTCTTCATCTTTCTGCAAAAGGGAAAGTCCTTTTCATTCTAAAGTCAGTTCTGAGAGCCTGAAATCTCCAAGTTTCATTGTGCAGGAAAACAAAGCAGTAGAGCTAGATGGATAAGGAAAGGCAATGCATGCCACCTAATGAATTCCAATTGGGATCTTCCTTTGATTTTTCTCAAATTCAACAGAAATGTTAAGAGGTTTATCAGAGAATACTTGTGTGCATATCTGTTCTGGACAGTGGTGGTGCTGACAGTGGCAGCAACACCTGTCTTCTGAAGAAAAAAACCATGTTGTGAAAGGGTTTTCAGCATCTTGAATTCAGGGTCCAACACTGAGCACAAGATTTACCCAGAAGGGAAACATGGAGCCTGGCGAGTGAGTACATCTGCACAGCACACCGGGAATGCACAACTTCTGTCAGCCACTGGAAGTAATCTGCCTCCTCATCAGTGGCAGAGAGGGTCCCGATGCCCAATTTCAAACTCCATATGCCTTGCAGACTAACAAAAAAACGGGATGTTGGAGCTTCTTTAAAAAAGTCAAACACTCTACTTTTCTAAAAAGCTATCAAAACAAAATCAAATTACATAGGGGAAAGATCTGAGTACCAGGTACAAAAACAGAAACGAGTTAGGAAGTTCTCAAGATGTGGCTCTAAGGGATTGGTCCAAATTTTCTCTCAAAACTATCAGTGAGGACAGAGACGAACAGAAACCTTCTAAGCTCAGCAGAGGTTAGAGAGCCAGAAACCTTGAAGAACATACAGAGGCCTAAATGAATATACAGACAGCGAGTAACTCCAAGTGCAGCTGTTAATGCCTAACTGCAAAGGTGTGTTATTCCCACAAATGCACCCAAGCGCACATTTGAGAGCAGTGCCATTACACAGGTCAAGCTAAGGGCAGGTCCACTGTTATAGGTACCACATGAACAAGTACTGTTCATCTCAGCTTTTAGGCACCAAAAAGATTTTTGTAGTGAGAACAGAAAACAGGCATTTAAGACAAGCAAAACAGGAATGACCTTTTCCAAATGACATATTTACAGTCGCTTTTCAATTAAGTTAAAATATTTTATTTGTGTCTTTATTCTAGAAGGACCAGAAATTGTATTATATTACTGCAGTGGTGTACCACCCTACCTCAGGATCTCAAGTGTTTCCACTCTCTATAACAGGATGCTTGCTGCATATAGCAACAAACCTTCTCTTTAGCCAGGGGGGAAGAACCTTTCCCTGTGACCTTTACGTAATTTCATATAGTAAATCTCTACATCTTTATCATCACATCATCATGGCTGGGCTTCGCAAACAAAGATTTGGGAAGGGCTCTACCCACGTTTGTTACAAGCGCACTGGTGGCTAAAAAGGCCAATACGAGATAGACACGCCCGGTTGCAAAAGGCACAGCAGAAAGACTCCTTAGGAGATATATTCTGCAAGGCACGATTCTTTCTGCGTTGTCTTTTCTCCTCAAGAGTGATCCTGCATTTGCATGGGTGCCTATATAAGTAGAGAGCAAGCAAGAAGTCCTTAAAAAGAAATCCAGTAAGAAAGAAGTTTAAGGAATACTTTTTATTCTGCTCAGGTTTTCTTCGCAACATCACATCACTCCTTTTAGAACCTAGCTCCTTGCCACTCCATAGAATTTCCTGTTCAGACAAAATTTAAAAGTAACTGAAAGTAAAGGGGAAAGGGCAGGCTAATTCTTTTTGGGGGGGTGAAAGTGGATTTTGTTGGGGTGTTTTTAAGGATTTGGGGTTTTCTTTTTTTGTTTGGTTGATTTTTTTAACAAGGAAGCATTGACACATTTTGTCAGAAGCCTATAACATTGCTCATTTTTCTTTTTTTTAGCGGATTTTCTTCTGAGGCAGGATTAACACCTGTTTTCTGTAAAATCATAGAAACTTGTTAGGCAATTTTCTTTTCTTTCCCTTCTTGTAGTTAAAATGGTAACGACAGTTCAAAAGGTTTTTTTTTTAATTCTGTAACAGAATAACTGAATAATTTTCTTAGAGTACAATGCAGGCTATAGGGAGTGCTGCTAGCATACCAACGGAGGTCTTGCTATTTTTTGTACTCTAACAAAGTCTTATCTCTAGTCCTAATTTATGCAGCCACAAGAGTGTAGGACAGTATTTTTTTTTCAGTCCCTTGTAAAATTGATTTAGGGCTTATAACTACTTGTCATGCTTTGTATCCTTGATAACATTATCCACGTACCACCATCTTCAGTGAAACACATGAACAACTTACATCTGTGAGCATTTAGCAATTACTCATCCAACCTTGGCAGATATATGGGCCCAAGAGTTTTACCAAAGCTCACCACTTTCCTCTCATTATTAAAAATAAGTTATTCAAATAAACACATCTATTACTAAGTAATCTGACTGATTATCAGAAGCTATTATCATGGACTGGGTAAAAACAAAAACAAAAAAACCCAAGAACATCAAGACTGGCAAGCATAACTATTTCCTTTTTATTCTGCTAGACACCAACAGTTTTAGTTTCTGTTATGAAACAGTGCTTATCGAACAGGTATATAAGGAACTGCTTTAAAATTATGCCAATGACAGGATTTAACTGTAATCTGAATAAATACAAGGAGAGAAAAAGAACAATAAAAAACTTAAAATAAAACCAGAAGAAAACCCAAGGGTGGTCTTGAAAAAAAACCAAACTAAACTAAACCCAAACCCCATGAATTTCTGAGTAAGCATGGGTTGAAGGAAGTTGGATTTGTGCAGTGGGCTACATCCAAACCCTCTATCTTAGAGCGTGCAGAGCCCCCAACAGAGGACGTGCATCTCCTATATAATCCACAGGGAGACGGAAGTGCTTTCACAGGACCTGTCTCCTCATTCACCATACTTGAGCACTCCAGTTTCTTTCAGAGAAAGCGTACTGGGACATGTATGGACAGCTAGGAATGTAGCAGTTCAAAATGAAGCTACTGATTGACTGTAAATACTCTCAAGAGTTAACCTGTTTTGGGTAACAAGCACAATGAGTTACTCTCCTGGTTTTAGGCACCACTGCTGCATTTCAGTTGGCTTTCAGGTGGTCTGTGAGATACATCTTGTTCAATTATTTTTCCCTGTGTTGAGAACACAGGTCACATCTTCCTAACTAAAGGAACAAGAAGCTATAAAAAAGATTTGTTTCCATTATCATATCCTGCTTCTAGAGGAAACCAAGCCACAAGAACCTGAAAACTACTCTACCAATTGACTCAAAATAGTAATGCAATTTTAGTATAAATTACAAATATAGCTGCTGGGAAGACAGAAGAACATTCAAAAAACCAACACCCAAATCAAGACCTTCTTCCCTTAAAATTTTCAGTTACATATTTTAAATAGTATGAATTCAGAATTAACAATGAAAAACTGACATTAAAACATGACTTAAGAGTACAACATGGAAATGGCTTCTGAAACTAGATGTTACATTTAAAAGTAGTAACAAAGGCAAACCAATATTTTGGTCAGTTAGCAGTTTAGTATTTCAACAAAAGAAAATCTATCTCCTCCCCTCACATTGGAGACACCATTTTTTCTCCTCCCTCCCATTTTTGAGCTATGTTTTTATGTCTTATATATGTTGTATTTTATATATTTTATATTATATATTTATATATTGTATATATTTTATATATTATAGATATAACATTATTTAATATTATAGATATTATTAGATATTTTAACATAAGTTGTCTTGGAAGTTACCTATAGATGCAAAGAAAATGATGGCAAGAAAGTCACGTATTGGTTCAATACAGCACATAATCTCCTCAGTAACCATGTGACCCTGAGAAGAGATCAGAGCTCCGGCTAAGAAGCATCCCAGCTCCATTGAAACATCCAGCAGCTCTGTGATCTGTCAAGGAATAACAGAGAATCTATTGCTGAGTGACTGAGTAACTTTATATACCATTTAACAGTGAAATTATAAAACTGGACATTATACTGAATGTAGGAAATCACTGTCTTTATCCAAGTTCAACAACAAGTAGAATTCAGTGTATTTATTTCAATGTTCTGCAGTATTGTATTTATACAAAAGACTCACAAAATCAGTTTCCCCCTCCATGTTACCTCCTTCCCCACAAAAACAAAAATAAATTTCTTAATCTACACTAAGACTTTCTGTCACTCTTAAGGACACCATCTGATTTCACAACTGCAGGAGATACTATAAGAGCTTTGGAGTCAGGATTACATAATACATTGAGACTGAGAACTAAAGCAGTAAGAATAGGGTATTTTCCAGCTGTCAAACAAGAGGGAAAAATGAAAATCAAAGCTTATATTTGAGAGAATAGTCTCAATTTAGAAGTCTCAGGCATAAATTACATTTTATTATCATAAATGGTTTAAATGTGTCTGTGTGCTTTACTGAATAGGGGTTCCTTTAAGCGTGTGAAGTAAAGTGCTGAAATGAAGCACAATATCGCAATATCGGCTTGAAAGAATTCAGACTGCTTCATTCTTTTTTAATATTTTAATGCAGTACTAGAAGGAAGAGATTAAACACATGTTAAAAAGCTAAACTAAAAACAAAGCAATTGCTTAAGGCAATGCTTGGAACGATAAAAGAAAAAAAGCGAACAGCACTTCTGGTGGGTATAAAGTATGTTTTATAATAAATACTTTAAAACCATGCTGCTGTAGGTGGTCATCTTGCTGAGAAAGTACAATGCTATTAATACTAATAGAACATTTAAAACGGAAGACTTACTTTCATACTAATTTAGATTAAGCAGCTATAGTACATTTATGGACACCATTCATCGGATCTTTAACGGTGTTATACTGTAAGTTATGAAACTATAACTCAAATGTCTTGAAAGTAATGGAGGAGAGCAAAAGACAAAATAAACGAGTCTCCAAGCTGTGCATAAAATGCCACCCAAAAATAATCCCCAGACTTTTATGTATTGAAGTACTAATGCCTGAATGATCATCACATAACTACATTTTTGATAAGTCTGTAATTTATTGCAAGACATTTAAGGAAAAAAATTGGTTCTGTCAACTAATATCAATAGTTGCTGATCAGGCAAAACCAACAAAATAATCTTATAATGTTATTCTCATTCTAAAACAAAAGGAATTTCAGTGCTTGCCACAACAATTTGAAATTGTAAGAGGGAAGAAGGCAATATATACATGAAAGGCTTTAAAATCACCAAGAGATGAGTAAAATAAAGGAAATAGTTATGAATAGAAAACACTTAAGTTGTTCTCAATCATACATTAGTTGTTTTAAAAGTCACATAGCTAATATTTTAAGGATTCCCATATACATGATTATGTTACCATATAAGAAGAGAGCTAGCATCTCTTGTACCAGAATTGCATGATACTGAACTATTATGAGAATCACTCTTCAAGCAAGGAACAATTTGAGTGTTGGACTTGATGATCTCAGAGGTCTTTTCCAACACGGTTGATTCTATGATTCTATGAAAGAAACATGTTTCTTCAGAAAGCATCAGACATAACTAGAGCAAACCGTATATCTATCTGGGAGTTTGCTCCCACAGCATAAAATCTGAATTACATTCCTTCGCTCTGTGGCAAATCAAGTATGAGCCCAAGGGCCTGGTAGAAAAATAGGCAAAATTTGCTATTTCTTGTTTAGTCTCTGGGTACTACACAGCTTCAGGTCTACAAAATCTACAGGTCACTCTACACACTGAAAAGTGTGAAGTTGGATGAGAGCGCAAGAAAAGAACCAACAATTACGTATTTTTCTTAACCCTATCTCCCCTCCTCCAGTCTGTTCTTCAGATTTATATGTATACAGAGACTCCTTTTACAATTCCCATCTTGGTCTCTAGTTGATCAGTAATATAACCAGTAAGTAGACACACTTCCTCAGCTAAAACTGTAGCATCAGGGTCTGTCATGTATAATGTATGGGCGCACATGCACAGACACACTGGAGAGGGTTTGTTTTACTGGCAGAAAGGCATTCTCAGCAGAATTTTTTAGATAAGCAAAATTTGGAAAGTATTTCACATTTAGTATTCCCTCTGTGCTTGCATCACTTTTAAAGTTTTCCTTTTACCAAACACGGCTCTAACGATTGCTAATCTCTGGGCTTTGCACTGTCCTTTTCTCAACTCTTACATTACAGAAAGCTTTGTCAGTCAAAATTACATGAAAAGTTTTGGCAATTTCCATGTTTTTTCCCCAGTACAACCTAGTTTTCACCTGTTTGCGAAGGTCTCATTTTATCCTAATTCAGAAAGGATTGCTTTGCTATCACTAGAATATTAGATTTTTATGTTCAAATGTTCTATCACAGCAATAAATAAAGAAATAAACATTACTGCTGTAACATGTTCCAGTTGAACCTCAACCATCTGTTCAGCAGTTGTTTTGCTCATATGCTCTAAGAGTGTCTATCTTATTGCTACTCTTTAATCATCATAGAAGCTTAATGAATATGGTAAGCCAGTAAAATTAAAGAGAATCTCGATGGAAATAAAGGTATTAGAATTTCAGGCTTTAGTAACTTAAACCTGCTCAAGAGTAAAGAGGTGAATTCTAAGCTTGGATTTTAAAGAAGTAAAGCTGTAATGGAGATGGAAACAATTTTTAGTGAACCTTGGAAAAACTCCATCTCAATTATATTTTAAGAAATAATTAACTAGAATATTTGAAATTAAAGTTCTTCCTTAATCTTCTCCTTCTAATTGATAGAAAAGAGTTCATAAGCAGGTTATGAGCCATTGAGAAGTGCTCCAGGCAAGCAAAGAATGACATTCCCAATATTAGCAATGATATTCCTAAGACACTGCAGGAAAAAATATGTACATTTTCATACATAAAGTACTGTAATAACATAGCTATATTTTCTTTTTGTCTTTTTGGTACATAAAGCAAGCTGGCAATTTCCCTCCAGTTGCACAATTTTCGTCATAATGTTTCTGTGCATAGAGAACATGAAAAAGCAACATTACACCAGTGAATGCTCTGGCTGCAATATTCTTCAGCTCATTGTGGTAAATATCTCGACCTAAAAGTACCAGTCGAGCCATGGATCCTGAATGGTCGTATTGAAAACCATAAGCAAGATTTGCTTTTTATGTTGCGATTCAGAACAGTTCTCCAGTTAAAACAAACCACCAACCACTATCTGCACAACTTAAAAGCTTCAAAAGGAGATGCTGAAAGCGTAACAATGATCTACTAAACCTTCATTACTGATGGCAAGATTCAAAGATGGACAACTGTGTCTCTCAGCTATACTTTTATAGGACTGGCACTTGACACAAACTCCCCCCACACCTGATCTGCCAAACTAGTTGAGAGACAAAAGGGAGGGGAATTCCAGTTATTTCTGAGAACACTGGGAATATAAAGAGGTATCTTAAGCTCCAAGTCTTCGTAAAATATCTCATATTTGAGATGCACTGCTTTAACTTAGTTTACCAAGAGATGTATTTAAGATGTAATGAGTTGCAATGTTATCCAAGTGAGTCAAGCAGTTCAGAAATGCTCAGAAGTCACTATCATACAGGAAGCTCCTCAATTGACAGGATAATCCTTACAGCAAAATTGCTTACTCACACTGCAGTGTAGGAACCTCTTCTGTCCTATCTTCCCTCTTGTTTTCCCATACAGAATTTGTTGTTATTGGTAGGGAAATGACAATTCTTGTTTAATTAGTCATGGGAGATTTTTCAAACACAGGAAACAAGTAAAATAAAATAAGTTTATATATAATGTGCATTACATGTGCTAGTGTTACAGATTAATCCAAATACAGAAGAAAATTAGGTGGCCCCAGAATTCCAGTCAACACTGAAGCACATAATAAGTAACTGTACGCATGAAGCAGGAATACTGTATCATACCTACCCTCTTTGTCATGTATTGGAAAGGATTTGGCCTGCAGATTAACCTGCATGCTAAGAGAGTGAGTTAAAATATCTTATTTACAATCATCTCTCAGATTTTCTAAATGGAGCTGTCTTTGGTCAAGGCCACCAAAATAAGCACTCTCTTATTTCTCTTCTACAAATTCAAAAGCTTTTTTTAGATTACACCAGCATAGAAAATTCTGTGTTTGCAGATTAATTATACCAACTCCTTTAATACTTAGGCTTGGTTTTCCCAGGAAAAAGATCTTTGGAGGAACCACTACAGTTTAATTGTTATTCTTCCTGGCACCCAAAAACTTTAATTTATCCTTTCCAAAGACATGCAGCAAATTAGATTTCCACCCCTCATCCTATGTTTTTATTCCTGACGTAGTAGGGGCACCTATACCAATAAAAAGATTTGTTTTCCAGAAGATTTGTTTGTTGATCTGTTCAACTAGACAACCAAATACTTTTTTTTTTTCAGTCTGTGTGTTTAAACCACAACCTGTAGCATTACTATAATGAATGTATCTGTGTCAGTGAATATCAAGCATCTCAACTGGTTTACTGAGGTTACCTGCAGTATCCTTTGTACTGTTCCCTTTGATACATTATTTATCAACTCTAACAGGAAAATTGTTGAAAATGCTGAAGAAGCGTTCTGGTTCTGCAGTATAAATCCAACACACTCAAACATATTCTTCCCCCAGGTTTGTGTTCCCACATGTATTATGTAAAGTCATATAGACAAGCTCCTTGTTCATTTGACAGGCAATTTTGGTACAATACACCCAATTCAATCACCAGACTATGTAGGTCATGTTCTTAATGGAAGTAAAACTGCTTCTAGATATCATCATATTTTATGCAACTTTGTGATTTGGTTGCTGGTTTTTATTGAAGTTCTACGAATGTAATGTCTGCTAGTTAGAAAGTAAAAAGGAAAAACTAGTTTTGTTCCTTCTCTTATTAGATGCCACACTTGGAATATGAATAGCTGTTTAGAGCAATGACATTTTTAACCTGTACAACAGAAGTCAACAACTGTAAAGCTATGCTCTCACTAACTTCTTTTTGACCTTCCTGAAGGAGGTCAGCTTTCCCTGTTGGACTGTAGTAACTAAGCTAACACCCCTAGAAAAAAAGGTGCAGGCACAGGAATATTTTGGCTTAATTATTCTCAGAGGACATAATCTGCACATTCAGGATAATGGAGTTTCAAACCCACAACATTATCAGCAACTGTCACATTCTGTTCTCCAGCAGTATAGTTTTTCAGAGGGCTGAAACATGAGAGAGAAACAAATAGAAGGAAAATTCAGGGGCAAATGAACCAAACCCAATAGGGTTATTAAAATCTATGATCCTTGAGGCATTTCTCTACTTTCTTAAGTTCATCCCAAACTGTGTATCCCACACAAAAAGAAAATTATTTTATAATAAAAACCATGTTGACAATTTGTTATGAAGATATTTGTGAGCAAATGTCACAATCAGGCATTATCAGTATCTCAAAACCCATCCTAAATTATTTTCAAATGCAAGAAGTAGCCCAAAATTAAAACTTGGATCATTATTCCTAAACTGGCTGTATTAAAAGCTAACAGCAGAAGTTCAGCAGATTGACATTCAAATTTTATCTCTTCTTACTCATCTGTGCTGGAATGCATGAATCATCTGCACATTTGAGGGTTGTTTTAAAACATTTTAAACTCAAATAATTAATTACAGAGGTACATGTATATGCAGTAACAGTAAGTGCAATGGCTTTGATAGTGATGCAGTAAAGTATCGCATGTATAAAAATGTTTAATTAATTTAAAAGATTACCGTTAACATAAGGAAGGTGAATGCAGTTATTCCTAGAATGAGGATTTCTTTATTCCCTTTGCTTTCTGCGTGCAACTTGCGATAATACGGTCCTATGAGATAAGTCTTTATAACAAGACATAGAAGAAAAACAGCGGCCAAAGAAAAGAGAATTTGGCCAATCAGTATCAGTATTCTCAGTATTTCCTTGAAAATGCTGGAAGAGAAGAACAAACAAAAAGTTTCTTTCAAGTGCTCTCATATTTCCCAACCAGTTCCCCTTAACTGAAAAGATCTAATTTTGTAAATGTTCCAAACTGAGTAGCCACAGGAAGATATTTAAATACATTTGCAAACAAGATTAACACTAAATCTGCTGAGTGCCCAGTAACCTCTTTTACAACCTGGAATTTACTTCCATGTTGACTCAAAAAGATTTTTGTTGACTGATCTCCAAGGTAAGCCATCAGACTCAATAATGCTATCACACAGTCTTTGACAAAAACATGCCCTGGGGGAATAAAGTAACTTTTTTTTTTTTAAAATATCAAACTTTTCACTACAAATTATAATTATCACACAGGACTAAGGCTGCTAGGGCAAAAAGAATATTTTCATACAACGTGACAAGTAGAAACAGTAAAGGAAACTCGCAGGAACGGAGTGCCTATTTTTCATGGAACTGACATTAACTGTAGCGCTCTCAACATTCATATTGGCAATCTACAGACTGATTGCAAGGGGGGAGGTGGAGATCCATACAATAATTTTTCTTTACCTGGAATGTGTGCTCACTCCTGCTTGAATAAGTGTAGGCATGACAGCTATAAATAAACCAAGCTGCACATCCTGCATCACCAACATGCCAAGTAGTACGCTGCTGTAGTCAATATCCCCTGTACACCGGCAAAGCAGTCATGGAAACAGTCATTAGAGGCTATGAATGCTTGCAATGCTCAGAAATCTAGAGAAGGCTTAATCAAATGGAAGCCAAGTATAGCTCTTAATGGGGTGAAGGCCATTCAAAGCAGTCTGGGTTTTTTTCCCCACTAGTAGGTAAATTAAAATATATATAAGACATTAAAATACAAATAAAATATTCATGAGACTCCTGTTACACGATAAAAACATAGACTTTGCGTAGCAGTTAAGCACTAGTCATGCATTTAGTGAAACTTCTTTACTGAGAGCATACAGTTTTTAGAATAACAGACATGTAAGAGCCAGCATGTGTAAAATATACACTTTGAATTCTGGCATTAGAGTGAATATTCTAGAGGGTGGAGAATACTTTAATGCAGTTTATATAAGGGAGGTTTAAATGGAAGAAAGCAGGATGTCAAGACTTTTGAAAGGAAACATGTAGAAGTGCTTGAGAAGATAGCAATATGACCCTTGAAGGTAGTTATTTGAAGAGCTATTAGCTATGGAAGACCACCTGAACTGGTCTCTGTTGAAGAAGGATGTAAATTACTTAAATTAGCTTTTCTGCCCTGATGACAAACTGGTAGCAATGGTCTAATCTGGTAATCTCTTAAAAAGCTCAAGGATTACAGACCCTCAGTAAAGTCAGTTCTTAACATGGAGAGCACTGGTTGGGCTATACTGTCTTTCTCCAAAGAGGACTGGCTATGTAAAAAGCAAGAACACTTCCTAACGAGAATATACACAACACTGGCCAGTGTTAAACAAGGATGATCTCTTGTAAACCAGACTTAACAGTCCCTCTTGTTTTGGTTTTTTAACTAGTTTCTCTCATAATATTACGAAGTCAACTTCTTTCAGATTTTATTGTAGATACTACAGTAGCCCATATTTAAAGTCATGCATACCTTCTTTATCTCCTCGAACACTACCTGCAAGGAATCTTGACACCAGTGGTGTGCTTGATAAAGATAAACAAGTGGAAATGAAGACGCTCTGCGTTGGTCTAATTTGGAGCAAGTGCCCCCATAGTAAACCAAAGGCAATCATCAGAACTGTCATGTAGCAAGGTCCTTGCAAAGATATTTTCCATACCTGGGGACAAAAAAAGTTTTTATGATAAAGGCTGATGACACTTTTCTTCTCACCGCTAAGTTACAATGATTTTCATCACAAATAAGCAGTTAAAAATGCATGATTTGAGGCTGCAGTGCTGGGCCACAGAGGTAATGGTCTGTCACCCTGTACAATCCAAAACTCTGAAGTTATTATGCCTAGTAGACATTCTATATCGGAAGACTTATTACCAGAAATTAGGTAAATTTTCCAGAGCTCATGGACAAATTAGGGGCCAAAGCTCCAGTATGGGTTGATATATATTAAAAATTATCATGTGGAAGACCAGTTATTTGATGTGATTCTAGGATGGGGAAAAAATGGGTGTAGCAAAGGTAGTCACCAATACCAGCAACCTGTTCCAAATTCATGCACACACAACTCTGAAGCAGCAATTTACCTACTACAGTTTAGGAACTCTTGAATTACTAGTTTTTATCTTTGACTTTAGATGGACTAGAAATAGCAGATTAAGCTGAATGGTCAAAAATTTCAACACATTTCAATTAAAGTTTTTATAGTATCATGAACTCACAACCATCAGTTTAGGAACAAATCACACCATGCAATTCTTTACATACAGTCTGCACATGTTTTGCAGCAGTATTTTCCACTATTAAAATTCTAGCTGGTTTATGAGATAACTTTTTCTTTAAAATAAGACCAAAAAAAACTTGTAGCTTTTTGCTGAATCCTGATGGCCACATCATGTAATATTCCAGATTGTGTTAACATACTTGCTGAATCACTTTATTAGCCAGTAGAGCATGTACCATCAATTCAGTATGCAGTACTTAAACTGTTTGATTTTTTATAACAGGACTGGCAAACATCACTGGACACTTTGTAACAACAACTGCATGTTACCGCATGTCAAAATTAAGCAGAGATGGATTGTCATAAATTGTGAGAGACTAGTAATTAAACTGTTTTACAAAAATGAAGAGGAATAGCAAATGTAAGTTTTTTTAAACACTGAATAAATAATGCATTCTGTTCTTTCCAATGAGGTAAAGTGCAGAAGCAAATGTCATATTTGTCTTTTTCAAAAATGTACAAAGTTACACCAATATATCATAGGGAGAGTATAAAAATCTCAAACATAACTGATAACTGGAACATTAGCAATTAAATACTTTAATGTAGAGGTATTATGCAAAAATACCTTTCTTAGTCTTTCGGGAGAAAATTCCAGACCAACTAGAAAGAGAGTGAAGAACACACCAAACTCTCCTAATGTCTCCACCTGTACAATAGACTTAAAATAAAAAAAAAATTAAATAAATCAGTGCACAGCAGTCTACTTATAATACAAATTATAATTCCACTACAAAACAAATTGTTTCTCATTATGTTTCCATGGGTAGTTCACTTGCTGTAATATGACATCAGAAGTTCCTACAGCAACCTTAGGGTTCAAACATTTTTCCCATCACTTGGCTGATACTAGATGATAATTTGGTTGGATAGTGCTGGTCACACTAAATGCACATGTGCACTCATCTAGGTAAGCTTGTTGGCTGGATGAAAATGAACAGGTTATGTTTTATGCATGTACCATTAAATCCCCAAAGCTTGCACTCCAGAAGTTACTTCTTGCTAGTTATTTTGTCTACTGGTATAATCTTTCTGCTAGACTGTAGTTGCTGTTCTGCTCACCACCCAATAGACTGTACACATCCATCTCTCAGGCCAGTAGAACTACCAGCCTTTTCTGCTTTCAGAGAGAAGGGTGGAAAAGCAGGAAAAGTGGTTGTCTTCCTCATCATAGCAGAAAAATGGGGATACTTCTGGCTGGCAACTGGTCACCAGTGGTGGATCCTCAGGGTTCAGTTGTAGGGCCAGTTCTATTTTATATATATATATATATATATATATATATATATATATATATATATAT